CAAACAGAAATTTCCTACTGTAACAAAGGCAAAAATAATACTAGTAACAATAATTAAAAAAAAAATAAATCAAAGTCCCAGCTAGCTTCACAAACAAAAGATCTGCAAAAACAGAGACAATCTGGTTTGACTCCAACAGAAGCTTGTTGTGATAATCTATAGCTTTGTGTGCTTTTCTTCTTCACTTAATATTTGTTAAAAAAAAAAACCAAAAAAAGATTAAATCTAATTATTCTTCACAAATCAAGACCTTTTCATTTAGAAAATTCCCACCCAGGATATTTTGATAATTCCAAATCTTATTTCACAAACATTTTTCAAATAAGTGGCCGTCAGAGCTCACTGTTGCACAAAGAAATCAGTGTCACTCAGCCAGTCTGTTTCTGGCAGAAAAAAAAAAAAGGTGAAAAAAAGATTAATTCAAAAAGTTCCAGCTGTCCCAGAACCCCAGACAGGGCTGGCTTTTTACTGTAACCCAAACAGTTTTCAGCAAAGCCATTTTCAGTTTTGTCAGGCTTGTGTTTTGTACCCCATTTAGCCCACGATTGCATGTAAGCTGTCCCCGGCAGCGAGGAGGGGGCTGCCTCCCGTGGGGCTGCGCTCCCGCCAACGCCGTGCCGAGTCAGCAGCCCCGGTTTTAAGCTTTTCTTTTCTTTTTTTTTTTTTTGGTGGGTTAGTTAATTCGGAGCACATCCAAAAATACAGATCTACAGTCCCAGTGAGGGAGTGAAAATGATCCTGTATATGGGTGTTGGTGGGGTCAGAGCCTCTTTTTATTACCAATTATACAAACTGTATTAGAGGATACATACACCCGCCTGGGTCTTCCTCCAGCAAATGCCACATACAGGTGACTCTCACAGATGCTGCTACAGGAAAAATAGCATTAAATACACAATAAATGCCCCATAGATGGGATGATGCAGCCCAAGAAAAGCTGCATGAGGTCTTCACAAATACTCACGTGGAAATTGGGGCACGCACGTACCACAAGGGGCCAAATGTGCTGGCCCGTGCCCAGGAAAAAGCTCAACTGCAGGCTCCGTTCAAGGCAAGAGGCTCCAGCAAAGACCTTTCAGCCTTTCCCTGGGCCCATCTCTCCGCAGACATCAACCAACTGATCCTCGTTTGGATGACTCATGTGCTTAACTAATTGGCTAAATGGGGGCCAGACCTCTGGCTCCCTCCTGCCCACATAGTTTGATGAGCTGGGACCAAACCCAGACAACCGCAGCGCATCCAGCTGGGCTTCGTCTCTTCCAGCTCTGCACAGATGTTTAATACTCCGCTTGCTCGTGCAAAGAGGGTGCTTTCCCCCCTCTCACACCCCCCGAATTTTGCCTTTAAAAGCTCAGCACATCTATAGCCAACCCAAGATGATCGATAGCTCTTGGTCCCTGGCAGCGTTGCGGGTGGTAGAGGCACGCAGCCACCTTCTCCTGCGATGTCTCATGCTCTCGGCTGCAGGTTTCCCCTTCCAGCCCGAGTTCTTCTTCTACCTTGGTCTGTATTTCCTACATACAGACAAACAGTGGAAAAACATTTCTTCCTAACTCTCATTTCACATTGGGGATTTGCTATATTTTGAGGTAGAGGGAAGGGTGAAATGACTTTCAGGGGGTCTTAATGCAATTTTATTCCTGTTCCCAAATAGGCATAATAGGAAAATTTAAATTATCCTTCAACATGGTATGGATGGCCCCAGGATATGGCTGAGCTGGTGTCAGTCTACAAAACATATCATCATGTGTCATTGTTTCGTGTCATTGCTTATTGATTTAATTCCATCATATTTCAGGCAACTTTTATTGTCTAGGTACAGATCATCATATTAATAACTGGAAGCACGTATGCAGATATCAAAAACACCTCCTGCCACTAACCCAATTTTTAAAATGAATCCAGGAGAAATATTTTAAGAGAAAACCCTTTCAGAAGCAATTGTTCCAGGGACAAGAAGGACTGGATGACTATTTTTCTGGTTCCAATGTTACATATATTGTAATTTCGTATCAATATTTCTTTTTATTTTTTCTTTTGGTCTTTTTTTTTTTTTCAAGGGGAAAGATTGATAAGAAAAGGAGGAAGTCACCAGTTTCGAGAATAAGGTGTAGCTAAATATTGTATCTAAACACATGCCCTTGAATGTGCATTATCATACATTCAACTTCGCTGAGGAACATTTTGGAATATGAACTGAATAATGTGGATATTATAAAATGGCTGTCTTGGAATTAAATTTTAAGATATTGATGTGTCATAATAATAAAATAGAAAACACTTTAATATCAACAGTGAGCTCCATCATCCTTTTTTTTATTATTTTGTGGTTGGTGCTTTTTCCTACACAGAAACCTTGAAAAAAACCACCATACACTGCAACAAACTGTAAACCATTAAAGATTTGTACACAACAATGCCTCCAGAAGGACTAAGCCCTAACCCCAGCATTATCTTTGTAGCCAAAGTTGGGCACATGTTAAATAATCAGCTTAATCAGCTCCTAAAAAAATCTGACATGTGAAACAGCATTCCAACAAAAGACTTCTGTGAAATTTATCTGGGGAAAAATACAAAGTATTTTATTTTAGCAGTTTTTTGGGGATATCTTTTAAAGATACCTCCAAAAAATGTGTGCTCTCTCTATTTACATATTTTCCTGTGTTTTTTCTTTTTTTTCCCCAGATTTTTTTTTCTTTTTTGGCTTCTTGTCCCTCCATTGCTGCAGATGTTTCTCTGTGTTCAGTCGCGTGTTGGACGGCAGGACGGGAAAATCCTGCAGCAACATAAATTTTCAGCCCGATCCTGCAATAATAGATTTTGGATAAAGCAGGTTATTCATACGCTCCCCTAACAAGCTCCCAGCAATGCTGCACCCAGCAGACCCAGCTTCCAGGAGCACTATCGACCAGTGGGTATCAAAGGCTTGGGGTATTTTGTCACCCGCATCCCACAGCCAGCTTGCCTCCACATCAGGGGGCTCGTGGCTGGCCACCTTTTTCAATCCTCTCCTCCAACATCCTTTACCAGGCAATTCCCAGTGCTGGACGGAAACGCCAGGCTGAAGTCAACACAACTTCCCTGGCCGTAAGGTTGGGAATCTCCCCCAAGGAAGCCGATGGGTGTTTTCCCACCGGTTTGATTTTCCCCTGAGAAAGGCTTGCCTAGCTGGGGACAACTTCCCTGAGTAACGCCGAGCATGAATGGAAAACAGCATCCCCGGAATAATTCCCTGCGAGGTTGTCTTTAAAGTGTACTCTTGTAGATTTCTTCATACCCAAATGCTGCTTTCTATATGAAGATTCAGACGCGAATCTCTCTAGACCCCCCCCAGCCCAGGTGAGACCCCACTCCAAGGTCTTATTCAAGAAATTATTCGACCTGCGTTTAAGGCCAAGCCCCCGCGCAATTCCTGCTACCCTCAGCAAGCCCCCCAAAAGGGCTTCGGTTAAAGCAGGCACTAAACGCACTGCGGGGTCGAAGCCTGAAAACGTTTAGAGGACGAGGGATTAAAATACAGCAAATTACCTCTGGAGCTTCCAAAGTCAAGCGCACCCGCGCAAAGTCAAACGGAAACACTAACTCTATTTTCATTTTAAACAAATGGCGGAGGCTTCAGCGTTAGCTGTGATACGCCGTCTCCTCTCGGGGAACTAACAGACAGGGAAGAGCAAGGCTTTAAATGATTTATTCAGTACCCTGGAGATTTTTTTTTTATTTTGTTTTTTCGTTTCCACATAAATTACACAAGCACTTTATAAAATGAATACACATAAAACACCTTATAAGTGCATAACTTAAAAAACCCAAATGAACGAATGCCTTTAAAAATCTCACTGAAAATAGGTTTTCTGATTGCTTGTTTGTACTAGCTGCTTAAATTGGCAGTGCTGTTTTAGATTATAAGTAACTGAAAAATATATACTGTATATATATATCTCTATATATTCCTGGCATTTGCTATAAGAAGTGCTTTGTTTAATTGTGTCTCATTCCCTTGGTACAATTAAAGAAACAACTAAGTTAAATGGTTGAGAGTGAAATCGATTTTTCGCCATCGGGAATTGCCTTCTAAAGGGAAACAGGTAAAATAAAACATTGGACAACATTTTGCAAATGATATGGAAATAATCCATGGAAAGAAACTGCATTACCCCCGCAAACTGCCACCAAGGTCTTCTCGTTATTAAAATACACACTGATGGGCACGGAGTCCGAGGCAGCCAGGGACAGTTTGGGCTCTTCATACAATTGAGATATCATATTTACCGTCCTCAGGAGTCTGTCAGATCCTTCTCTTATTCCCCCCTCGCAAGAAAAAATTAATGAAAAAGGGGAGGAGAGACGGTGAGGTGAGATCCAGAGGGTTCCCATCTGGCACAAGCAGAAATTGCTGCTCTTTCCTCCATTTGTTGCATCCCCGAACGTCTCCGGCGCAGACGACCCGAGGAGGCTCGCGGCAGAGACGTGCTTTCCAGGGAGCCTCCTCCTTTTGTTTCAAGCCATCAGTCCAAGGTATACACATATATATATACATTTTATGTATATATATATACACACACAGATACATAGGGGTGACCCCAGGCTTTGCCCTGCCGCCAGCAGAATCCAAAGGAAGTTTTCTCTCCCCCGGCTGAGTGAACGCCGGCGGCCGTGTCTCTCAGGGCTGGGCTTTTTGTCTGGCAGCACGTCAGCAAGTTCACGGTCGGCACCGGAGACTTTCAAGAGAACAAAAGGGCTGGGGGGAGGCAAGACACCACCGCTGCTCCAGCAATCCCACGGGTGGGAAGAGTTTTTGGGGTGGTTTCCCTTCCTTTTGGTCCCCATCGAGAGTTTCCCCAGCCAGATGCATGGGATGGACGTGTGGCCGGAGGACCGTGGGATGCCAGCCTTCCCCAGGGACAAACAAGGATGCCACGCGTCCCACCAGGGATGCCATGTGTTCTGCCGGGGACAGCCCTGCTGGCAGAAGGTGCACGTGCCACCAGCGGGTGCCAGCCTTATTCGCAAGCGGAGGCGACAGTGGTGACGCTGGTGATCTTGGTGGAGTCGTCAGACCAAGGCTGGAGGTTCTGGAGGGCAAAGAGAGAGGAGTTGTGGACGCAGATGGGGTCAGCTTGGATGGGTTGGTTGATGGTTTTTTGGAAGGCCTCCTGCTGCAGCTGCATGAGGATGCGGTTCGCTTGCTGCCGCTCAGCCTCCCGCTCCTCCGCCGTCTGCCTCCTGGGAGAGAGAGAGCAGTTAGGGGGACCTGAGGGAGCAAGGAAGGGGCATCTCTGGAGAGAAAACTATCATACTGGGTGATTAGGGGTGGGTGGGGTTGAAAAAAAGGCTGCCTAGCCACGGTGTGGTCCCACATTCCCTGCACAAACTGCCATTAAGTCCCATAAACTGGGAGCTGGGGCTATCTTACTGACCCCAGTGAGAATCACCCCGATCAGAGCGAGCCGGGAACGCCCACAGCTCTGGGGTTTTTTTTCTGTCCATGGGAGAAACCCCAGCAGAGCCAGGACACCCAACGGGGCACACGACAGGGTTGCAAATGGTGTGATTCCCTGCAAACACGCTCTGTGCCCAACAGCGAGAGACAAGCACCCAACGTCCCAGCAAGGAGCACGGGGCAGGAGCGAAGGGAGACATCACCGACTGGCAGTGCCACACAGCTGGGAGATGAGCAATGTCACCCCAGGCATCCCCTTCCCTGCACCCAAGCGTGCCATCCCCTCCTCTGTGCTGTGGTGGCCAGCTGAAGAGAGTCTGGATGAAGGCGACAAAGCACCCATGGCACGCTGGACAAAAATCAGCAAAATACTGGCTGAACACAAGAAACACATTTTTAACAGTAAGGAGAATCAAAGTCCAGAATAAACTGTCTGGGCAGAGTGGAGGAGGACATTTTTAAGAACAGGTTGGACACGTGTCTGTCTGGAATGACACCAGCAGAGCTGATCCTGCTGAGAGGGAGATTAGGAGGCCTGCAGGGGTTCTCTCCAGCACTGGTGGGGTCCCAGCTCCGGGCTGTTTGAGAGGAGGGGATGTAGAGGTAGAAATGGCCTGAACACACTTAAATCTACAATGAAAATCCCAGCGCCCGCATGCTTGGATGGCAGGTCAGTGTGGAGGCTGCAGCCTGTGGTCACCTCCACTTTTACTGGTGAACATCACCTGGCACCTTCAGCAATGCTGCTGGGAAAACCTGGAGGCAGCTGACATTGCAGGTCCTGGGATGATCCCCAAAGTACCCCTTCCCTCACTCACACCCCTGGGGCTCAGCTGACACTCTCCCAGCAGCTTCAGTGGATCAGTGACGGGAAATGGCAGCTTTTTAATTTAGCAACTCAGGGGGACATGAGATGTCTTGTCTTCTTTGGCTACAGGGATTGGAAGTGGCAGCTCCGAGCTCCGCAGTGACATCTCGGAGTGCAGGGCAGAGTGTCCCTGGCTCCCCACTGGGGAAGTGGGAGAAGGCTGGATGTGGGTGATGGGCCTCCGGGGCACCCGAGCCTCCAGGCATGTGGCCAGGGCTCCCACCCGGGAGCAGGTAGCTTGGGGCTCAGTCCCTGCTCTAATCACTGTGTCAACATCTCACGTCAGACATCCCGGGGAGAGGGGGCTCGGAGCAGCACCAGCCCTCCCCACACAGCCCGGGCGCAGCTCCGTCTCTGCTTCGATGAATATTTAATGACTCCCTGCACAATGAAACGATGCTCTGGGAGGAAGGAGGCAGCCCCACATCCAGAGCAGTCAGGAGCACGGTGGCTGTGAGCACCTGGTTCCCAAATATCTCCCTGCTCCAAGCAGCTGGCCCATTCGTGCATTCACCTCAGGTTGGGATTTGCAGGTTCAAATCTGCGTGGAAGGAATTAAACCTCAGTGCCTGTGTCTCAAGTAAGAGCCCAAATCTGGGGAGGGGATCACACAGCAACCTCAGTCCAGCAGACACCCAGCAAGGGGCAGTGGCCAGACTCTCCCCCCAACATGCCCTTATTTAAGCAGTTAAATCCTTCAAAGGGCTTAAAAGTAACTCTCTCTTCTTGGCTATTCCCTGCTTCCTAACTCACACCTCGCCTGCGACCGGCTCCTTCCAACACCCAGTGCTGCAGCCACTGTTTGCAGCCCACCACCGCTGCAGGGGGACCCGGGGCATGCTATCGGCCAGGGGCACCCGCATCTCCACCGCAACACCCAACGTGCACAGATGCAAACAAGCAGAGCTTACAAGGCTGAGTCCCTCTGGCTCAGGCTGGTGGGGATTCTCCCATGTCTAATACTAATACTACGGCTGAGGTCAGGCTGCAGCCTTTCCCTTCGGCAGAACCAGGATTTTGGTTCTCTTTACCCAGCTATTTTTTGTGAAACATATGAATAGGTTTGTATCCTCTGCTCCTCTGCCAGAGAGGGACGAACATAGCCAACAGACGCAAAGAGTATTGACAGACAGATGGAGAGCCAGCCAAGCCACATTTGCCTCACTTCCTTAGGAAACCAGGTTAGAAGACATAGCTGACCCCGTTCTGCAGGCCACGGCAGGACTGTTCCTCCTCCAGGACTCTGCTCCTGGCTACCAGAGTTAACTCCAGCTGGAGACTTCCTGGCACTTGGGGAGCTGCTCTTCTATGAGCTCTTTAGTAAAGGACTTGCTGAGCGGGGACTCATCCCCACCCTTGGATTCAAGTTCCTTGTCCCACATTTCTTATCCAACCTCTGCATGCCCAGGCAATCACTGTCCCATTCAGCCTTGGGGAGACCCCGGGAAAGCCCTTGAAGAAGCTACTGCCTGCCTGCACCCAAGCACTCAGCGCTCAGCACCCAGCAACACCCCCCTTCTCTCACCTGCCCCTTACCCAGGTGCCCCCCCGCAGGGTGCCTGTCCCCGGCCCAGGACAGAGCAGGGGATGCTTCCAGGACTGGGCT